CCAATGAGAGGGTAGAAAAGCAAGGCATATAAGGGCGTGGGTAGACAGGAAGTAGCTCACATTTGGAAGCTGCAGAGTTGGTGAGGTAAGGTTGGCTGGTGGCTCTCCCTATTTCCCTGATCTCTAAGGCTTTCACTCCTGTATTTGGCTCCGTGTTTTTTATTTAATAAGACCATTTAGAAATTCATCTACAGTTGGGGGATGGAGAGACATCTTCTTCAGTGCTGTAACCACAGGTAAGGTGCCCGTGCTTCTGTAAATAGCCCTAATGAAACTCACTGGGTCATAAAAATAGAAGGGAGGCTACTTGGGAAGAGGATTAATGGGAGTAGCAGGGGATAAAAGGATAAAGGTGTTAGGGAATGAATATGATCAAATTACATTGCATACATGTATGAAAATGCCATAATGAAACTTATTATGTATAATCAATATATGCTAATAAAATAGTTTTTAGAAATTAAAAAATATTTTTGCCTTAACATATCATCTTAGAGAGGTTACAGGGATACTTAGGAGCTATCTGGATATCACCAAAGCCCATCTGGGTATAGATAAAATAGTACTTCCATTCAGTGTTTTTCTGACTCACACAGCTCTTTGGGGATCGGAAAGTCCCAATGGAGGTCAGGTGGCCTGACAGTGAAGCAGCTAAAATGGAATATGGTGTGATGGAGGTGGGTAGACAAATGAAGAAGGGGGGATTTTCAGAAAGACACAGCAATATAAGGCTCAAGGGAACTCGTGATTAAGAGGAGAAAGAGAAATAGCAATGGGAAGAGAGTGGTCTTAGGAGGAGCCAGCATAAGGAGACTAAGTTCCTCAAAAGAGGATAATAAAGTTCCAGTCATTAAGAAGTGGACAGTAAGTGGACAAAGTTAGCAGAACTCGTTACTGCCAGGGTTTCCAGTGAGGACAGAGTTTCTGTAGGAGCAGCAGAATCTAATCACGAAAACGATTCTACAGAGTACAAAGAGTATCTATGCCAGGGAGTCAGGAAACAATCCCTACTCATGAAAGAGGCCCAGGAAAACCTCCAGCCGAGCAGGTGCCTCCATAAGAAGTGGGTACTCAGTCCTCGCTTTAGAAACTGCACTCAGAATCTTAAGAATCAGAATCTCTCCTTACCAGCTCCAATGGATGTTTGTCCAGAGCAATGGTTCACCAGTCTGACTCACCATTGGATCCCCAATCAATCAGTCAGGAATGAAGACAAAGTCTTCAAAAGTGTACATTTGGGAGTCCTGGGTGAGAGGTCCGGGGGTCCAATGATGAATCTGATCCTATCTATGCCACAACACCATAACTGTTAAAGGAAAAGTTATTCAATGATACTTGTTAAAGCATGGTGAGGCAGTGTATTCAAGACCATCTCCCAGGCACAGATCATTGCAATGAGATTTTACAACAGAGGAAAGAAGCTGGGCTCAATTGCAATTACAGCCAACAGCAAAAAGGAATTTTTAGCCAAAAAAAGAAAGAGGGGCGAGAATCAGTGGATGGCACATTACTAAGCAAAAGCCTCAGAACTGAGGAGGATTCTGACTAAAACAATCTAGAAAGCTTCTTGCTACAGGCAGGCCAGAGTAGCCAGACATCACCTGGGGATGGTACAGAAGGGAAAACTCGATCAATATCTAGGGTATCTAAGGATACTCAGGTGTATACATGGGAGAATCCTTGCTAAACTTTCAGAATCAGCAAGGTTTTAGATTAGACAGGCTGGGTTGTAGTTATGCACAGCTTTAATCCCAGCACTTAGGAGGCAGAAGCAGTGGAATCTCTGTGAGCTCAAGGCACCTTACCAAACTACATGCCTAGCCCTTATTGTTTAATTCTGTGTCTTCTTTAGAATAATCTTTCTTAATACAATATGAGGTAT